CACGTGGGGCCCGCGTGTGCGCGAAGTTTGATGCCGCAGTCCTGGGGTGGTAGTTGACTGGGGAACCCGCTTGGCTGTCATGTTGTAATACCCGGAGACGCACATAACAAACATACATACATACATACATACATACATACATACATACATACATACATACATACATACATATATATATACATACATACATACATACATACATACATACATACATACATACATACATACATACATACATGCATGCATACACACATACATACATACATACATATATACATACGTACATACACAAATACATACATATATACATACATACACACACCATGGGTCGCCACAATATACGTTTTTGCATTTGCATATATGTAAAAGCAAATAAAAACTGAATATTTAAGAACACGTCCAAACTGTTGCCCAACCATATGCTTAACAATGAAACAGTGACCGATCTTATCATACCGGATTTCTTGTCTGCATTCTTCGCAGAACGGTATTCGGCTACTTTGGGTGTGTAAAACACCACGACCTCTTGCCGAATCGTCTCTTTGGCGCACTTGTTGTTCATGCATATTCGATGATTTCATGTACGAATTCCTGTTTACTGCAAATACACTTACGGCACCAATTTGAAGTCCACGTGATACACAATTCGAGATAGGTAACAGGACCGAAATGGAAAGGAAAAGCAAACGGTGATTTATAAAATGAAAGGAAGTGAAAATTCTGTTGGAAAGAGGGATTTAAGCTTCCAGGAAATGGGTTTCTCGCAAAACAAGCATCTGTGAGAAGAGGGCCATATGTTGCTTCAGCGTTATTGTGGAGATTTGAATTCATTAAAATTTAAGTGCACCCTGCTGCAGTGAACCACAGTCCGGATAAGCTTTTCGAGGTACAGGGAAATATGCGAAGCACAAAACAAAAAATGATGAGGATACAGTCGCGCAAAAGTACCTCATTTTACAAGTTAGGGAATACTGTGTCTTATCTGATTCTAACGAAACTGCTACAAATCGGCGTATTTTCAAGCCGTCAGGAATTGGTTTCGCCAAGAGTCTTGTGCTCAAAGTAGTAAATCAGTGCATTCTATGCAAACTGCATCAATGACCCAAACGTTTTTTTGCGCGGCTGGATTTAAAGAAAACACATCTTAGTTAGTTTTTCACATACACTCTCGAGAGTCAGCATTCTTGATCGAGTTTATGATTATTTCCGAAGGCGTCCACGGATTAGTGCGAATGTACTCAGCATCCAGTGCCATAGCGCTTGAGCCACACTTCGAAGGTGCCGTATCGTTGTTATTGCTTCTCGACGACTGCTTGCCATTTGTTGAACCTTTGTTATCAAGGTTCGCTTCTAAACAATCATGCTAATAATAAGCATTCCATGCTGCTGCAGCAGTAACGCACCAGTGAAGGTACTAGCAACAACGCAAGCACTGCACGACATGCTTTTACCATTATGCATTTCTTGACAAAACGAAGCCAGGAACTCGAAATGTAGTGATTCACGGCTGACGAAAAGGTCATGATTGTAATCAAGCGTACAACTGTATTACACATGCGCCTCACCCCAACCGCTGGCCAACGTGACTGTGCGCAAATTTAAACGTGATGGTGGGAGAAAGGAGGTGGGGAATGAAAATGAATGAGCAAGTTTCAGAAAATCAGTATTTTTTATTCCATTCCTGGTCTCGTCATCTTAACTCTTAAATACTATGATTTCAGTCATATGCAGCATTTCTCGTGCGTTTTTTGCATCTGTACAATGCAAAAACGCATATTGTCGAGGGACTGTGTGTGTGTGTGTGTGTGTGTGTGTGTGTGTGTGTGTATGTGTGCGTTTGTTTGTGCATCTGCAGTGATCTTTCGTCTCGAGACCTACAAATGCTGTGAGGCCGAAACACTGGCAACTTAATCTACACCTCTTTACGGGCCCTACCCTCAAAATGGACGCTCATGTCCACGTGGTTCTTACGTACAGACATGCGAAAGATTTTTTGACGAGAAAACGATTTCGGAAACGGCTCAAACCGGAAAGCTGAAACTTCACGAAGATGTTCCTCGCCCACGTTCAACTCAAAGATTTTAAATTCAGCTTTCACGCACCTCTAAGTCTCACGTACATCAAATTTAAATTGGCATCGCGCTAGCTCGAGAATTAAGCTGATTAATGAGCAGTCGATAGCTGTAATTCTGCAACACTGCTTGATGCCCGCTGACATGCCCGTTAAAATGAACAGAGTTTTCGAGCTTCGCGCATCTCCTGTAGGGGACGTGAAATTTGACGTAAACGGTTTTGTAACTTCAGAATTGAAGCAACTCGAGGGCTAGCACTGTCTATGCGTGGCCGACGGCGGCGCTTGGCCAGGTGAAAGTGAAAACAACTTCCACATTCCTTCCATGTTTCACGTATGTGTCACGTACTAACACGAGCAGGTAGCGCGCCCAGGTTTACTGAGCATAACCCAGGACCGTGTTTGAACATGGAAACATAACTTAGGCTGGAACGCACCAGGCTTGCCAGTGCGATCATGCGTTTTTGCACTAAACTCGCAGACTACTAACAGTAGGAGTGACTCCTATGCTGTAACCTAACACTTGGTTTCATATTGATGC